GACCGATATTTCAAACTGCGATTTACATGAACGGTGTATTAGTCGATGCTACTAAAGTATACATTTGACTGATAATACGATCACTACAACATCGTATTTTAAATCTTTTAACCTGTATCAATAATTGTTTGCATATAAATATAGATTCATATAAAAATAATATTATATAAAAATATATATTTACTTCACATATAAAAATATATAAAAATATACTTATGGCTTTATATATTTAAAAATACCCAACACAAAAAATATATATATTTTTATATATTTGATATATTTTTATGTATATATATTTTTATATTTATATTATACATATATAAATATTTAAAAATTATTAAATATTATTAAATATATATTTTCATATATAAATGTCTACATCTAATCAGAAATAATAAATCACGCGAAGAAAGATATAAATGTGTGCTTTTCTCAAGCACTTCAAGTATGCACTACCGCTTTCTATATTACGTGCGATGTCTTCAAACGAGAAAGTGGATTCGAATACTTTCATTGCGGATGCATCAATCTTGTTATTAATTCATCTGTAAATAAACTTGATCAACACGAAAAAGTGCGATAATGATGACGCAAAAAATATATATGTAAATTTGCAAAGTTGTTTGTATTGAGAGACCAAAAATATCTTCCAGCATATATACCGTCGAGACAAAAACTCAATACTTAAATCCGATTTTAAACTCACGATGACATCCTCCGAAAGTACTCGCATTCGTCAAGATTATGTCTCAGTTAATGCAGAACGCAACGTGCACGAAATCTCGAAGCAGAAACCGAGTGACTGTACCACTTGATCGAGAGCGAGTAATAACTTTCGTTTACTTTCTCTCTGTCTCTCTCCTTCTGGTTTCAGTTTGGTCTTATTTTCGACCTTGATCGTTCCAGCATGGAGCAAGGACCGAGAGGAAAAATAATACAGGAGCCAATCGTGGCTACGAGGATAGAAAACGAAATAAAATGTCTGTGTCATGAATATATTGCGAAGATATCGAGAATAAAAAGCAACTATATCATAACTATATAATTTAGATATTTTTCACTTGCTTGTTCAAGCGGAAATATATGTTGCAACTATGTATATGACTATCTTGCCTAATAAAACTTAATTCGAAAGTGTGTTTTGTAAAAGAAAATTATTTCGAAAACTCTTTCGTATTACTCATCCGACTCTGTGTATGACGGATGACCTTCACTAGAATTTATTATACATTGTCGGTCAAGGTAAAACTACTCTATACGTTAAATTTTCAAAACTTGCAAACATCGTTTTATATATGTACGTTTATGTGATATTCAGATTGTGAAAATAATTTTGAATATCGAAAATATAAATAAGAAAGACCTTCATCGAGATATACGGACGAAACAAATATATTTTGGTTTTTATTGACTATCTAAGTGTCACCTTTTCATATTTGAAATAATTATGTATGCTTATCTATCAGGGAGACTTAAATATTGTCGGTCAAAGTAACTGCTCTAAATATTACATTTCCTTTGCGAATGTTGCGAACGTCGTTTATATATGTTTATGTGACATTCACATTGTGTGAAAATAATCATAAATATTGAACATATACCAGAGAATACAAAGAGACATACTCAGACGAAAGAATATACAGTGTTTTTTCTATTGACCGTCTAACTAAGCGTCACTTGTTCCATATTTGAAAACATTTTTTTTTAGGATTTAACATATCTCAATTTGATATTCTTATCGCTTTATTGCTACATTTGTTAACAAAAATTTAATAAATCTATTTAAAATATGCGACGACCAAAATAATTATATTAATTTTACCACAGACATATATATTTCCATTAAATATAAACTTTCATTCTTGTAATTATTATATAAAATTAATTTAGGTTAAATCGATATACGAATAAAAAATTGGTATCTCGAAGATGAGAAATATATAAAATTCGAGAGTCAAACGGTGAAGAGAAAAATCACGAGAAAAAGAAAAGTCTCTCACTCACCCTCGCCGAACCTCCTGGAGATCCCGAAGGTCGCCGTTGGTCGTCTCCATCCTCGCCAATTGTTGCAAAGAGATTCCGGTTCGCTGCTGAAACTGCACAAGGAGTCCTCCTCGAAGCGGTCCGAGTCGTCGAAGGAAAAGCGATCGTTCTCTTCCCACTCGATCAGATGTCCGCCGGCTGGTCCGGCAGCCTCATCCGCGACGGTTCCGGATTCGGCGGCGGCCCCGGTCGCGTTCCTAGAAGCCGCGCCGCTGCTTCCGCCAGCGGCTCCGCCGCCACTTCCGCTGCCGCCGGTTCTACCGCCGCCAGTTCTGCCGCCTCCGCCGCCGCCGCCGCTGCCGGAAGACCGAGCCAGGTTGCCCGCCAGTTTTAATTGCCGTGCGAATCAGCACACGCGACACCACGAGCGCGTCTTCGACGGTCACCTTCCGCCACCGCCACGACGAGTCTCGCCTGCAAGATCACCTAGCGGCGTAGACTCCACCACCGTGTTCCGGGGAAGGCTACAAAAAATCCAAAACAATTAATTTCAATGTTCGAATGTGCTTCCAGAACGGTTCTCCTATCACGTCCGCGAGAAAACATTTCTTTCGAATATTTTTCCAAACATTTTTCGAGAAAGAGAGAAATATAAATTAATTTCGAAAACCATTGCTCCGATATAATTAAAAAGAGATTCGCGAATATTGCTCAATTCTATTCCAATTAATTATTTCTCATAATTGCGAACAAAATCGGAGTCGGTTATTAAGTACGTACAGGATATTTCCAATATACGACATAAAATCAAATAACTAATCAACTTTAATTACTCAATGTATAAATCAAAATAAAATAGAAATGAATTCTAATATCCCCGACACACAGATATAATGATATAATTTCCTAAGGAAAAATTCGAAGTTGAAAATAATTTTGAAAACCGGAGCACTTACGAAACGCTGGTTGTTTTCCCGAAGCGATGTCTTCGCGATGTGATCAAAACACGAAAGGTGAGCAGCGCGATACCGATCATCCGTTTTATATGTGTTACGATATACGAGGTGTATAATTTCAAAATAAGGTCACGGAAATCAACAAGTTTTTCGCGAAACCTTCGGCGCTCGCGATCGCTAATCGTTCGGAGCGTGCGCGCGCACAGGACTTACGCACGCCGTGAAACGCGTCGCGGAGCGCATCTCGCGAAAGCAAAGCGGGAACAGCTGATTCACGTTACCTCATAGATACGTATTGATTTTTCACCCACGAACGCGAGCCCCTCGTTACGCGCGAATACTCGTCGCCGCAATTCCGACGAGTCCTGGGAACGAGCAAGGAACGCGAACTTGGAACGACGTCGCGAATCTCGAAACGTCAAACGTCAAACGTCAAACTCGCGAGAGGAACGTATATACGTCAAGAGACGAATCGTTAGACTAGGTTAAGGCGATACAGCACTGACATGTATAATAAATTCGGACGAGAAAGAGAAAAAGAGGGAGAGAGAAAAAGGGGGGGAGATTGACAGATGCGAGAGAGATCGCGATTTATCGATGTCGCGACGAAGCGATGAACCGCAAGGACCTTGGCAGGTCGACAGACCCGCGCCAAGAACGTGCAACGACCCCGACCCCGTGCAACCCCTCCGTCCTTCATCCCCCCTCTCGTCCGACTCTCTCTTTCTTACGTCTATCATCCCGCGAGGAGCTCGCGCGACTCTCTCCATATACACAAATATATTTATAGGAACGCGCGGACGCACGCGCGCGCTCTTTGTACACATATGTATGTACGTAAACGCACATATGTGTATGACGCGAGCGCGGTCGCGCGCGCGCGGGACCTCCAACCCTATTTGCTTACCTCCACCCCCGGGTGCGAACGCGTCCAAATGTCCGTCAGCAGGCGGTGCACCACCTCACACCCCGTTTGTTATCGGCACTATTCGGAGCATCGTCGAGAAGACTGTACGTGGTAATCGCCGTGAACTGCTGGGCAGCGCGACACAAACATACACACACACGGCGACGGCGCGTTCGAGTAGGTAGGTAAGACAGCTGAGGAGCCGTCAAGTGCCCCATCGATGTTTCTCCTAACTCCGTGCTTACTACTTTCGAGGCATCGCCGCGCGCGCACTCGCCGCACTCCGGTTCGGCAAGGAACCAGGGATTCTCTCTCGCGCCCGAGTCTCCCGCATCCGCATCCGCGATAGTCGTCAAGCCAGAGAGCACGAAAACTCCTGAGCTAGCCTACCCCATCGACGACAACAACAAATATGGCGAGAGCGTACACCACCTCCCGCACGTTCGCTGCTGCGACTGCCGACTGAGCGGCAGATGGCGCTGCGGGTCCAGTGACGGCGGGTCCGCGACTTTCTCCCCCCATTCCACGACTCGGCCGTCTTCGGCCATCTTCGCGAGTCTCCACGAAGTCTCCTTCTCCCGCGTTTTCGCGGCCTCCGAAACTGCCGCGTTTGCTCCTTTCAAGTTTTCTTCACCTGAAACAAATTATAAATCGTTATTGCCCGTTTCGAAACTCTTGATAAAAGATGCATCTTTTCTTTCCCTTTATATAGCCAAACAAGGAGAATACTGTAACAATAATAATAATAATAATAATAATAATGTTAATAATAATGTAAAATTTTCTATTTTCTATTTCATGAATTGGCTCCGTTCGTGTCGCTAATCAGCATTGATTAATTAACGTTAGTGCGATTGCAATTACCTTAATTCCAATATGACGCGCGTAGGAACAATTTGCGACTGAAGACTGCAATATTTCTTTCGGGAATATAAATTATTACGCTCTCTCTTATATAAACCAGTAGAGATCTTCGTCAAAATGGATGCACATCAGAGAGGCGCCACGAACTAACTGCGATGTCAAGAGAAGACTCCAACGAGAAAAAAATTAGGTGGATACATAGTGTCACGCGATTGGCTGTCAACTAGGGAATTTTTTAGTTCCGAAAATTTGTCCAATCGACAGCCAATAGCGTGACATCGTTTTACGTGTTTCTTGCTGGCCAAGTCGCTCGTTTCGCGCCATTATGAATTCCAGCCGGCGAAGAGATAAACATTGATAAGAATATCGTTGAATATTGAGTAATTATTAAGTGTCATTTCGTCTAACGAGTTTAAAAGATGTCAGAATCTTCCAGCGTACACGTGGATCCGGAAGATACTATTAACATTTTAGTAGCTACCGATATTCACCTTGGTTTCGAGCACAGTAAAAAGAGAGGTTTGTTTTTACTACGCAAAATTTCAACATCGATAAACAAAACTTTATATCAAATAAAGAAAACTGATAAGAAGTGCGTTTGAAATTAATATTCATTATTTTTCTTTGAAAAGGAGGACACTGCGAAGACAGTTTTATTACATTTGAAGAAATATTGAAGTATGGCAAAGATAACGAAGTCGATTTTATTTTGTTGGGTGGAGATCTCTTTCATGATACTAAACCAACGCAAACTACATTACTCAAGTGTGTAGAATTGCTGAGGAAATATTGCTTAGGTACTAGGTTAGTAGCATATTTAAAATAGCTTTAATAATAAAGAATGAAAAATATATTACAAGATGATGTTACATATACATGTATCATGTTACAGAGAATGCAACTTGGAATTTTTGAGTGATTCAGAATTGGTATTTCGACACTGTGCACAAAAACATGTGAACTATGAGGATCCCAATTTAAATGTCTCAATGCCAATATTTACCATTCATGGAAATCACGATGATCCAAGTATATATACAGCTTGTGTTTAATTTCTATTTATACATGTAAATTTCTTCAGGATAAATATTTATACATGATATGTTTTGCAATCTGTTAGGTTTTGGTACTGTTGGCTCAATAGATATACTCTCAGCTACTGGATTTGTCAATTACTTTGGGAAATGGACTGATCTTACTCGTGTAGTTATACCCCCTATAATTCTAAAGAAACGTAATACGCATGTTGCACTTTATGGTTTGAGTTATATTAATGATCAGAGATTATCTAGATTATATAGAGATGAGAAGGTATGTTTACTTCGTATATATTATATTTTTTGTCCAATTAATGTCTAATATTGATGACAATTTTGTGAAAACAGGTGGAATTGTTACGTGCAAAAGACATAGACACTTTTAACATATTTGTTTTACATCAAAATCGTGCCAAACATAGTGATTATGCATATGTACCAGAGAGTAAATTGCATAACTTTCTTAATTTAGTTATTTGGGGTCATGAACATGAATGTCGCATCACTCCTGAATTTAACACAGAAGGCGGATACTACATTTCCCAACCAGGTAGTAAAATTGTATATACATTTTTCTTTTAACTTATATATTTATGTATTTGAAATATAATTTAAAAATTATATAAAATTATTTAAGTTAATTTCTAAAATTCTAGGAAGCTCTATTGCCACTTCTTTGTGTGAAGGCGAATCAAAACCTAAGCACGTGGGCCTTTTAAAAGTAAATAAGAGTAATTTCAAAATGAAAAGTTTAAAATTGAACAGCGTTCGACCATACGTCTTTGATAATATGATTCTTAGCGATCACGATATTAAAATACAAGATTGTATTTCATTATCTGACTCTATACGTCAATATGTAGATCGATATATCGAAAATGAGCTCATGCCTAAAGTTGCTGAACAACTCACAGGTATGTTAATCACTTTGTTGAATGTCGTATATATTTTTACTCTTTAATATTAAAAATGTGTTCTTTTAGGATATCCTAATCAACCAAATCAACCTTTAATTCGGTTAAGAATATTTTATAATGATGACAATGAACAATTTGATACATTAAGGTTTGAGAATATTATAATAATATTATGTATATTGGGATTCAATTTTTCTTTTACTTGCATTTTCAAAGAAAAAAAATATACTTTCAGTTTGGCACAAAAATATTGTGATGAAGTTGCTAATCCAATGGAGATGATTATATTTCGTAAAATAAAAGCTGCAGAAAAAGCAAAACGTGCTTTTAATGATGATGATGATATGGATGATATTACAGAATTATTCCAAGCTGATGTAAAAAAATATTTTAGTTTAATATTGAACGGATTTTGGTTCATATTTTAACATGTTTAGATTTTTATTTTTATAGATAGGGCAAGATTGGACTAGCACAGTACGAGGAGGAATTCAGAAATATTTTGATCTTGAAGAAAACAAGGATAAATTAACAGTATTGACTGTAACAGGATTAAACGAAGCATTGAATCGATATGTTGATCGAAGCGACATAGATGCCTTTAAAAATATTGTAAGGTAATAATATTTAATAATTTTTGTGTTCGTAGAATGAACTATATATCTTACCTATAGCTAAATTGTTTTATAATTTTACTTGCTAGAGATCAAATGAAAAGAACCATTGAATATGTAAAAATACATAACAATGAGAAACCAGAAGACATTCGTGAAGAAATTAAAAATTTTCGCGATAAGAGACTTTCAGAAGAACAACAGGAGAAGAGTAATGTAATAACATTTATATGTTCTTCATTTACAATGTAACGTATATGTCAGAGTTTTATTTACTAAGTTTTTTAATAGATTTTTAAAGCATTAAACAATCCAACGCAAACGAGTCTCAAAAATGTTAGATCGTCTCATAATGTCAATGTTATAAATGATAGTGATGATAGTGATCAAGATTTAAATGCAATACCATTGACTAAAACTAGAGGAAGAGGTAGAGGTTCTAGAGGTGGTAGAGGATCCAGAGGAGGTCGTGGTGGAGGAAAAACTAATGAAAAAAATACTTCCATTGCGAAAATGCTGGTAATAAATATTATAGAAATATATTATTAACTATTATATTTATTTATGTAATATAATGAATTTTTTTTAAGGGTTCCAAAAGTGCATCAAAACAAACTCGTGGCTGCATTATTATAGATTCCGATTCCAATTAATTATTAAATATATATGCATATAAGAGAAGATATATATAAGAACAGGTATTTTTTTAAACAAAAAATGAATATTTTCATTTAAATGCGTATCACGCGCTTGCGTTTTTCTATATTTTTATAATAGTTTTTTTTTATATTTATAAAGTTTGAAAGTTGCATATGTGTATTGGATATATTTAAAAAAAAATGTTCTCTTGATATATAAATTTTAAAACTATAGCATTGTTAAGAAAAAAAAATGTCTTCTATAAGGAATTTAAACTTTAATGCGGGATTCAATGTTCAATAAAATAGTTCATTATAATTGAGGTATAATGAATATTATCTTTCTATGAAATATCTTTTATTATCGAATATTTTTCTCATCCATTTCCTAAATGCTCCATTGTTTCGCGCATGCGCACTCTGCTCGAACAAATCAGGCGAATTGCGCTTCTCTATATGCTACAGTTAATGCTGGAAACGTGTTCTTTTATCGTTCCTGTGTTAACCCTACCTAACGGGAAATTGTAAGATCACGTAATTATTTGTAAATATTTAATAATAAGCATTCATTTAGCAAAAATATTAAGTTGAATTTGTTAAAAAAATATTTATAAATAAATTACAACTTTAAAATTGCTTTGCATTTGACATAACGCTTGGATGTAGCTGGATGAATTTTTGTGATCAATAGTATACTTAATTTTATGCACATGACGACAAGCTTAAATATGTCTCAGATATTTATACAAATGTTTTTATAGTAAACAGAATAGCAAAGCAAATGATTAATAATTGAATATATGTCATTTCTTTAGAAAATGCCGCCAAAACGAGGAAAGGTACAGAAGGAAGAGGTTCAAGTTTCTCTTGGACCGCAACTTCGTGAAGGAGAGGTAGTTTTTGGAGTGGCTCATATCTTTGCTAGCTTCAATGATACATTTGTACATGTAACTGATTTATCGGGCAGGTTTGTATTGTGTAAAATTATATTCAAGTATAACTATAAGTCTAAATTTAATTTATTAAATTTACTCTGTTTAATTACTCTCTATTACTATATTAAGTTTACTATTTAATTACTAAATTTAATTTATTTTTAATATTAATGTAACAATTGTATAACATATAATTAGATCTTTGATTTATTCAGGGAAACAATCGCCAGAGTTACTGGTGGTATGAAGGTGAAAGCAGATCGTGATGAAGCTTCCCCTTATGCTGCTATGCTTGCAGCTCAGGTATGTTACTTGATTTGATTATTGTATTTAAATTAAGGCAAAAATTAGTATATCATATTATATTATCCACATTCAGGCAGCATTTAGATAATAAATGTTATCTAAGTTGCGTTCATGTCTGTGGAAAAATAAATTCTTTTTGATAATTGAGAACATGTGTATATATTACATTTTTCTCTAAAAAAAGAAAAGAAAACATTCATAAACATTAAATATTATATATGAGGAGATTCAAATATATGTAGCATGATATTAAAAAGTATGATTTAATCACAATACATATAATTTGCAGGATGTTGCAGAGAAGTGTAAATCACTAGGTATCACAGCGCTGCACATCAAACTAAGAGCTACAGGAGGTAATAAGACTAAGACTCCAGGTCCTGGTGCACAATCTGCTTTGCGTGCTTTAGCCCGTTCAAGCATGAAAATTGGACGTATCGAAGATGTCACTCCTATTCCTTCAGATTCTACCCGTAGGAAAGGTGGTCGCCGCGGACGCAGACTTTAGGTCATTATGGCTTTATATATTTCTTTTATCTTTCAATAAATATAAAAAAAATATATAATACATTTTATGAAACAGTCTTTTTCTAATTCCTATACACTTAATATACACACATGCACACAGTCTTTAAAAAGTTGAAAAATTACATATATATTCTTTATCATTGCATTACAATAAAATCGTAGATGCAATTGTGCAGATAAATATAAGAAAATCATTCTCTTAGGATGTTGTAACAGAAATTATAAAACAGTAATATATAAAATTGACATTGAACTTTTATTACTGTGAATATATATTAAGTTTAAATACAATACAATAAAATATAAATATTTAGGCACCTTTAATATTACAATAGTTTGACTACTGACAAAAGTATATATGTATAAAGCATTTATATGTATGGTGTCATATAATGAAAAAAAATTATGCTTTGTCAACTAATTGACCAATATTAAGATACAATTTAACTTTTACATCTACTTTTTGTGGAGATTTATGTTCCAGTGCTGCAATAGTATTTACATATCCATGTTGCATGACAAATCCGACTATAACTGGTTCTTCATTATTTTCATCAGTATCGTGTGGAATTACATGTAACCGAATCACAGCTTTGTTTCCTTTTCGCCATACTACAAGTCTAAAAAGAAAAGTCATATAAATTATATATAAAACTAAAATTATTCTTTTATAGAATATTTCTACAATATTTTTATACTTTACATACTTTGGATCATCTTGAAAATTATGATTATCACTTGTGTCATCATATTCAGCAGCATCATCCCTTGGCGGAAGAATCAATGCACTCTGAGGCAGTATTAAATCTGCATTTGGTATAACGTTTATTGGCTTAGGATCCTCTGTTACAGGTGTCTGCCGTACAGTAGACGGCAATAAATTTGGAGATTCACTTCCCTATTAACGTAATCTCAATTTAATAAAATGCACTTATATGTATATCTCACGTGATAAAATCTTATGTTAGTCTGATATTACTTGTTGTGCATCTTCCTGTTTAACATCTTTTTCTTTAATAAACGAAGTAGATAACGAAGTATCTAATGACAATATAGTTATTTGAGTCTGATGCTGTGTTGGATTGCAGAATTTTAAAAGCAATTCACTTGATTTTCCTGGCCGAAGTGGTTCACAAGTAACAATCTTCACTTCTGGAATATGATAACTAAAAAAATGCAATATTTTGATTATATGTATATGAATGTATCATATAAATCAAAATTATTTCATAACATTAATAACTTATTTTTTTAACATAATTCTTACAATGCAGCTAGTAAAATTTTGAATTTTGTAGATTGAGGACAGAGATCTGATTTGCTGACATTATGTTCGCACACTCTGCAACGTTGTGATCTTTTGACTAAAAATTGTCTGTGTTGAGGACGCAATTCGTTTATCTTTTCAGCTTGCACTTCTGGATATTGTAATCTTTGTTCCAATGTTGTAACTATTTCATAAATTTATAATTAGAGCAATATCTTTATGTACTTAGACTATTATTTTATAAAAATTGCAAATTTTTCTACCTTTAGTTATATCTACAGGTTCTGTAAATATATCATCTAGTAAGTCTTCTATTTCCTCAGTTGCAACAGATGGTGCTGGTTGAGCAGTAGATTGAGATTGCATTGGTGGTTTCAAAGGACGCCCAATACGTTTACGAAGCAATGCAGATGTAAAACTGAACATTGTCTGCTATGGATAAGAGATGTTTAGAAAAATATCTTTAAACAAATGTATAACTAGAGCTTTTGTTAAACTCACAGCTGGCATATAAGAACGTTTTGGATGAAATTTCTTCCTTTCGCATTGTTGTTTCTCTATAGAAGCTAATATCTTGTGATAATCAATGAGAGCATTAATGCGTGTTGTGTGTGGATTTTCCTGCTCAGGCCATCCTCCAGTTGCTAAATAGAAATTTAAAATATTGAAATAACTTGTTCAAGATATATATATTACAAAGCTCTTAAATTATATAATTATAAAATTGTCTACATATTTTTTTTATATTAAATTTTTCTTACCTACAAATTGGTCAGGTATCCCTGCATCTCGAGAACTCCATCGACATAATGAACAAAATAAATAATATACTTTTTTAGGAGTAGCTTTGACATCCTTATTTTCTTCTCCTTCTGCTACTGCTGGTTTTGCAGTTGTAGCTAATCCTGCTCTTGTAGACAATGTTTGAAAGCAACAAGGGCAATCGAAGCAATTGGAACATCTATCAACATATTATAATTATTATCATAATACTCTTTCTCTCTAATGTATGAAATCTAAAATATACAAACGTACTTGTTTTTTTTAAGACGTACTTCTGATGAAGGTAAATTTTCCATACAGTTTGGACAGTAATGAGAGTCAACCTATGAATAATAAACACTTTGTTTTTATGGAGCACGAGCTTTGTGCAGCAAATGTTTATAATAAATATCCATTTTATAAAATATATATATATTTATATTTTATTTTGAATTTGCTTATAAATTTTAAAAAACACACCTCTTGACAGACACAATAGCCGCATCGTATCATCAAGCAATGTCGACAAAAATATATCTTTGATATGGACTTTAATGAACCACAATTGCATACGTAGCGTACATAATCGGGTTGGTTTAAATAAGTCATACTGGAATAATTAATTTAAAAATTTACAGGGTAAAAAACAGAAACGTGAACGTTTCTCTTTTAATCTATACTTTGATAACCTCACAATTCTCAACCATTTTCTTTCCAAAACGTCAATCCGATGGCAGATATTTGGGGTGAATTTACATTTAATACGACAAAATATTTGACAAGTATCTGAATATACGATTGGTTATCGAATAGGGAATTTTTAGCACCTGATGGAAACTCGAGAAATTCTCTAGCCAATAGCCAATCAATGCGTCCGACATCATTTTGTCGTATCAATGTAATCCCATCTATATATGAATGTGCTTAGTCACGTGTTACGTGACGTAACGATGACGTTTATGAAACGTCAGTCGAAGCCTTTTACGAAAAGTTGGTGATGGCGGAAAGATGAGAGTACATATATTTCTTTTATCAAGTAATTTTATCATAGCTTGAAACATATATATATATAAGTAACGCTCAATGTGTTAGAATAAGCCATTCATATACATGTATTAAATACAATGACATAGAATATAAATTATATATATTTTTATAATTATATTGATCACATTACTTCGCGCCTATTAATATATCTATTAAATATTTTTGAGATCAACGATGAAAAAGAATAAAACTAATTAAATGTAATCTCAATTAATTATATGTAATATTTATAGCGTAATGCGAAGAATTACACATATATAGTCATATATTAAATACAATAAACATAGGATAAATATATATATATATATTTTATCATTGTATATATATACATATATTAATCATATTTATTTCACCTATTACCCTTGTAGAAATTTATCACTAGTAACGCCAATTAATCACTTATTTCGAGCACTTAAAATATTGATATACAGTAATTTAAGTACTCGAAATAAGTCATTACCATATAAGTACTCGAAATAAGTGATAAATTGGCGTCATTACTGGTGATAAATTTCTATAAAGGTAATATATAATATATATATCAAATATTTTTGAGTCCAATTATTTAAAAGAATAAAATTATTTAAATTTAATTTCAATTATATGTAATATATATAAAATATGTATTATTCATATAGCGTAGTGCGAATTTGATTTTTCATAATTTCTTTAATCATAATAGGGACAGTTATTATATATATATATATATATATATATATATATATATATATATATATATATAAAATACTATCACGTGTAAAGTGTCAAAATATTTTTACAAATTACGTATACATATGCTCATATGCTCACATCTTATCATGACGGAGAGAAAGATTATTTCTCGAATATTATTTCTAATAAAACCTATAAATTAATTATAATTTTCTCTTAAAATTATATAATTATAATTTTCCACTGCGCATAGATTTTGTACATATTATTACTTTCTCGCTCCCGTATTTCTGTCTATTTTAATCTTATTACTTCGGAAGTACTCATGCGGATGAAAGTAGAAGGATTCGTGAGTGTACAATCATGGAGTACCATCACGCGATGGTATGTCGAGTACGTATATAAACCCAACCAAGCGTATAGAACAGCTGATAATTACAATGTGTATACTTCTAGGAAGAGCACGAAGATGTATTAATAAGAGAATAGAAAATCTGTCGAAGGCAAACAACATTGATTGCAAAATATTTTCCTGTTATCTTTGCAGATGCTCCAATCGAGAAATCAAAGGAATCCAACTGACGACGACTTCCTGTGCGTTACGCAGCTACGGCAGTTGCAGTCGCAAAAAATTTCTCTGGACAACCGCGGATCATTCTGGCGTAAAGAGAGAAGGGCGGCGATCACGTGAGTGAAGAGTGAAAGTTGAAACTTGTGTCCCGTATACTCTTCGTATAGAAGACGATCGATTCTTAATTAACACGTATATGTTCCAATAAAAATAGAGCTTATTCATTCATCTTGCTAATCAGTCGAATCCATCGTCAAATAAATAATTATCAAATATATAGGTATATATACACAGAGGGAGAATTTTCTATTAGAATTTATCCTGAAAATCATGGTGATCGAAAAACAATATGGTATTAAAAGAATTTTATAAGTTTCTTTAATTAATATTTACTACAATAAAAAATATTAGTATCTACCACAATAAGATATAAAATACCTACGTTTGATTAATTTTACTATGTACATATTTTATATCTTATTGTTGTAAATATTAATATTTTCTATTAATATTAATCTAAATATTAATCAGAGAAACTCAACTCACTAAAATTCTTCCAATACTATATTATTCCACGATTTACATGATTTTCAGGATAAATTTTAAGAAAAAATTCTCTCTGTGTAGTGTTTCAATCTTTATAAAATTTATTTCAAAATGTTATGTGTTGTATTTGAAAAACAATTTTCGTCTATGTCGAATATTTCGATATAATATGATGATCACGTGGGGGAGTGCATAAATTAAAATTGCTAATCGCATACTATGCAATCTCATCATATCTTCTAATCACGCTTGACCGTAAGGTTAATAACTGGAGAACACACAAATCCATCTTCGTTTCCCTAAGATCGGTCTAACTGTACACGAAGTGGTAATCGAGAAAAAGGTTTAACTTTTCTCCATTTCTTTCATATAAAATCTTAAAAAAATCATAGATTTTATTCTCAAATCTGTATTATTTAAATCTTAAACTTATTTATTAAAAACAATCTCTAAATTATTTATTTCGCTACTAAACTTTCCGTCTCTTCAGTAACACATTTCTGAACGTTTTTGGACAATTGTTGAAAGAATTTTCGCGCGATCAAAATGCTTTCCCTGAGATTCCTTAAATTGCCTTTAGCTATCTCTGCAAACTGCAATCTGATCTTCATTGCAAGGATAATCTTGCGAACGAACATCTGCGCGAACTAACAGTATACATAACCGTATTGAGATTATGCAAGGCTAGTCGATAGCCGGTGGACAGTAATGGCAGATGTTTTACGCCAGTAAACATAATATTAGTCGACGTCGCCGCGATAGTGCATAGCCAAGCCTAACGGTGGAACCATCATAACGCCCCGTAATTGCGATCCGATTCTCCTCGGCATCCTTGGAACTTGATGTTATTTGGAACACCAAGGTAACATCAAGGTATTCGATAATTGGCGATGCATTATTCTGAATGAAGTCGGTATTTCGCTGAACGATAAGATTTTACTTAGTGCGCGCTGAACGCACTTTTTCTTTTTTCTCTTGCTTTGATATCGATTCTTTTTTCTGTAACGAAAAATATCTCGAAGAAAATTATTATTAACTTTTCAAAGTTGGACACATATCTTTGTAAGCTTCACAAATTATAATTCTATAAAAAGGGATTTATAGTAATGTAAGAAAATAATTTAAAGAATTTAAATTGATTTTTCTTTGATTTTAAATGAAAAATAAGAAAATTATTATTTTTCAAATTGTATCTTTGTAATTCACAAACTAGAAATATTTACTAATACAAGAAATGATAAAAGAATTATATTTTTAATCGCTTAATTATAACGCCAATATTATTCTAAAAAAAAAATTGAGTTTGTAGGACTCGATGAAAGATATTAAATCTGATTATAAAGTATAAAAATGTATTGAATATATTTGCTGCTGCGCATCGACGACTAAAATTTATTAACAGCATATCTAAATAACTCGTTATTTTTGAAATATCGGCAATAACTTTCTCGATATTCGAATTGGAAATTCTCTCTTAGCAGCTCGTATATTTCAGATAATATAATTATTAGTTCCTGCGGTTCTCTTATGAAACACGTCTCAAGACGGAACTTGTAATTCGATTTTATACGTTTCCCGTAAAAGCAATTAAGCGATATTACGTTTCGACGTTCAATCTGTATGTTTAATCAACGATTATTTCTCTTCTTCATATCGCAAAAGGAACGAACCTTCCGATTCTTCGATTATGCGTAATTGTCTGATTGGATTGTTCCGCGTTCGACGAGGACACGGTTTATTGGTGTTATAACATATGCTGCCATGGAGAGACATGCAACGCGGTAAAAGTTTTTTTCTTTCTTCCCGATGGGAAAACAGGAAGGAAATCGGCATGCGTGTCGCGCGCAATAAAATCGATGGATTGATTATTAATGACTTTAATAGCACGCGCGGTTCTTTACAGGAAATTTCATGATAAGCTCGAGTCTATAGCCGTACAGTAACATGGAAGTTAGTAGCAAAAAAAAAAAGAAAAATTCTGAATCTCATTCTGAAAATTACGTGTAACGAATCGCAAATTATTCTGTTTTCGTTTTTATAATAGCGAAAAAATTTCTATTGATCTTCTGATGTCTATTGAAACGCTCCATCGATTATTGATAATTGATCATTTCTAATTTTTATTATGGTTACAACGTAATCTGTCTTTTGTGCGATATGTAAATTTTTATATTTTTATCAGGAGATCTATTCTAATGGAAAAGAAATATAATATTAAAACAAAAAATCTATTTCTGTAAAAAAATTAATAGCAATCAAATGACAGAGATACATTATTAAATCTATGACTGGTGACTCTCTCGAGACTCGCGGAAAATTCAATTGAAGAAAAAGTTGTATCTATCCATCATACTTTCAACAGCCACTTTGTATTATATGTGTTATAAACAGTGCGGCGTGTCTCAATATTTCTTCCTTTGATATATAGCATCTTATGCAAATCGAAAAGAAGATAAATGTAATCGGAGAAAAAATTATTTTCTCGTTCTTTTCCCTCTTCATCGTTCTTCAGTTTCTTTCAAGCTAGATCCATGTCACGGCTCGCGAATCAAGAAATCAAACATATACATATACATCACACACATATCCTAATTTTATTCAATTTCTCATTCCATACGACGTATACGTCATGGTTGTTTACAGGAAAGATTTTTTCAGAAACTCTAACATACGAGGAGAGGAAAAGACGGACGAACAATAATTTCTCTGGAAGAATCTCGGCGGTGGAATTCGAAAATCACTTATTAAGTCAGTCGGCCAGCACCGACACGAATACTTGAGGAGACGGGGCCTTCTCGACCCGGAGAGAGAAAGAGAGAGGAAGAGAGAAGAGCGTTCTCCACGATCACGCAGCATCCCTCACCGTGGCTGGCGAATGTAGGTCCTCGCGGGTCGGCACCTATAATGCGAACCTCCTACCTTCGATCGCAGCCGCTCTTCGAAAACAGCTTCCCCTCTTCTTTTAACCCCACCAACCTTTGAAGTTCATTGAGAGCACGATAACAGGTGTCCCGCATACCAGGCAATAAGTATACTCGTAAGAATAGCGTCCTAGTGTTATATGTTTTTTCAGTAGGACACCGGTCATGAATATGTAGATTTGATTTTCGAAGCGAGGACCGATCGCGCGTTCGTATTCCACGACAGAATTTTGCAAGAATACAAATATTGAGACACACCGCACCTGTATTGATAATACATATAATATAGAGTGGTTGTTGAGAGTACGATGAATAGATGCAACTTCGATTGAATTTCAATTGGTTTAATAAAATATATCTTGTCGTTTGATTGAGCGCATTCACATAAGAAGATTGCTATTTTTCGCCCTGGTATAAACTCATCCGTCAACCTGCGGTTTTTCGCAACAGTTCGCGCTACATCTGCCTAATGCAGCTGCGACAGTTAGCGGATGCACCGACTCGTCGGTCGAGCCATACAAGGCCAAGACGAGAAATATACCGGACCTTTCTTGACCTACCAGAGGATTTAGTCTGTAATTTTTTTTTCTAATAATTTACAAAATGTATGGTAGACGTTTCTGCACGTATGCTTGACAATATTGCTTCTACAACACTGTCAAATTGTCATTACAGCGTAATAGGGATTAGAGGGTTCCGCGAAGTTCCACCACAAATGGATGACATAAACCAGACCCGGGCTGGCCAAAGAGTCGGTCTAGGAAGCTCTCCGATGCACCGCATATCTCGGTACCGAGAGCGTTCAGAAGACGAAGAAGAAGAAGCGGGAAAAAGGAGTCGAGAGGGTAGGGAGAGAATGGCGAAGAGGGGTCCTATCCGCTTCGCCTCTGGCCTCTCTCTCTTGATACACCTTTCTCCGGTTCCCCAACACCCGGCGGCGGGCCTTGATTCCCCTTCAGTCCTCACCGGGACACAGACAAAGTTACGCACCCGGAGAAAGGTCAATCGGTCGGCTGCTCCGTCGCGCGGAGCTCTCGTACATTTTTTCCCATTCGATAATCAGGTGTAATTTTCACATTGTCGTTTAACGATCGATACCACGTGGAGTTTATCAGTCTCTCTCTTCTTAATCCATTTTTTTATTCATTTTTTTTCGTGACGTTCTTTGCCAATTTTGAATATTTCTTTCGGGGAGCGCGCTACTGTCGAAGACCGCGAAGGGTGATCGCGAGGTGCTTGACAGAACTGTCGCCCATGTAACGGACAAGTTAGCACCGATACTCGCGGGATTGGTTCACGTGAGAGTGCACGTCTTTTCTTCCTAACTTTGAGCTAATTCAAAGTGCCACTTCGAGGGACTCCGAACAGATGGGCGACGACATGTGGAGGCTTTGGTTTACGAAATTGCTTTTGCTAGTGACGCTCTTGCTGACTATTACGGTTCAAACACGATCAGAGGGTGAGTTTTCCAATAGAGCATACGGATGTATATATATATATATTTATAGGAAAGAAAGAACGGTATAAAATAATATATATAAAATGAATTTCGTAGCATGTATTCATTAGCATGTCATGTGTGAACGACCGTTTTATTAAAGCAATAAATAATTCTACTCATCGCAAAATAACGTTGCATCGCGTGTTTTTATTGGGATTCGCATAGCCTCGATTCAACATGGACTTTAATTTATTCATTACACCCGTTGACGTATAACTAACGATCAACGACGGCTAGACAGTGAATCTACTCCACTCGTCAACACGGAAACGGCGCGCGTGCACGTGATAATTTCTTTTGTAACACCTGTTCTTCCGCGTTCACCTCGAGATAATGCGGCGTTTTCCATTAACAGGACATCTACCCGTATACACTTGTGTAACGCTAGGCTCGGCAGAAACGAGCCGACGCGTAACCAGTTCTCTTTCCGTGCAATTAAAAATGTGCGCGAAGTAACGAATGCAAAATTAAGAAGCCGATCCGCAGAACGTCGAATGAATGAATGAAGCACATAAAAGAAAATTTGCCAGATATATAGATAAAAGGAAGCTCCAAAAGAGAGAAAAATTATGATGATGTTGTGTCTACGAGAGCACTTTGCGTTATTATACGATATTTCTCATTATGTAAAAATACAAATTTAACGACTCGAATAATTCGTATCGCAGATGTTATCAATTACAATTTTAATTAACCGTAAGAGATCACCGGTGCTCGCGCAAATTTACGGAAACGCATTGAAAGCATCACTTACGCTTTATGTGTTATAAACCGCATAACGGTTTGCGCGGGTTATGGTGCTCAGTGGCGTGTACCTTATACAAGTATCCGAGCTCGTTCGATATTGCCGATCTAGTATCAGTGATCTAGACACAGGACCTACCTACGTTTCTCCAGCTGTGTCACCGAAAAACCCCGTTACTGTGCAAACATTTTGCAGTCTGTGCTTGCGCGATCGTCAACGATCGGTATATAATCTCTTTCCCTTTCCACGAATATAGCAGCTTTAAGCTGTTATAAAACGTTCTTCTCATTAACGGCTTGATAATATGCCGCTAATGAGAAGAATAAATCTCATTCTCGGTTAAATGATATTTACATGGGATGATATATCGAAAATGCTATTATTATATTTGTTTACGTATTAATCACGTGTATGGCATATTTGTTAACTGTAAAATATAATTAAAAAAGTAAATAAGTCTTTTTAATACAGCAATACTGGAAACTGATTTTATAAGCTATCGGACGAGCGCAGCTTCATTAATTTTTGAATGAAATCAGCTTTAAAGTATTTTTGTCGATGATGCGCGCGAATGTTCGCAAAGTTTCATCCACAAGATTAGCCGGTGACACGAACGATCGTAGGTGCTCTTGAGATCGAAGGAACAGGGTGCATTATCCTAAGCATTTTATCGGTGACGGTTGGCCTTGCAGATATTAGTTCTGCGAACGACTCTCACATTCACTCCTATGAAATAGGAGAGATCGGGAGACGTCGTTACCAAGGATCTCTTCTAACGAGTCTCTCAATTCTGATCGCGAGAGTCGTTCGCGGTACTCTTGAATATAGAACGTGATCCCGCGTAATAAATCTGCATAGAGAACTTGAAGACTTTAAGGATTTAGTGGATAGAAGAGAGATTGCGAATGATTTTCTTGTTGAAAGCACAAATAATTTTTTCCATTTTTTATAGTTAATAATGACTTCTAGCAACGATCCTTGAGAATATTGTTAAAAAAACTCTTACTATTAATACTGTTAAAAGACTCTTATTCTATTTCCATTATTTTATTTACGACATTCAAAGAATGAAATTTTGTTTCTCGATGAAACTTTTTTCTTACGTGCAATTTTTTACATCAGGGAATTTTCTCGCGATAATTGATGTCTTTTATGGGGAAATTTCTCGCAAGAAAATGTGACGTTGAAGCAAACAGATAGTAATAAGATTTATAGCGCAATACGGGTGGCGAAGAGAACGGACGCTCGTTTGTAAATAATTTTTCATCGACCAAATCACTTGGGGAGGCGTACAACGAAATATACGACAAAATTTATGACTAGAGGCAAATCATTAATTATCGTCGAGTAACAAATAAATAAATTTCTGCTTGATTATTCCAGTATTTTCCTTTTGCAATCTTTTGCAATCCTATATTTTTTATAATTCTATTTCTATTTAATATGTTCAAATTAAATATCGCCGCGCTAAAATTGTAAGTTTTACGCGAAGGGAAAGTGTCACGACAAAATAACAAAGTATCTCATTGGAAAGTTATTACGAGTGCTAAGAACGATTCTGTATTGTATTGCCTTTTTATCACCCTTGAAAAAAACTTAGAATACAATCGTCAAAAGAAAAGATCGAACATACATATTACATATATCTAAATCATAACTTTTATTTCACATTCAGAATTTCTATCTATTTAACTTGTTTATTTTCACTAAAAATATTTTGACAATGTGAGTGCTTTTTTAATCTTATTGACAATTTAAAAAAATTACACTTGTACAATTTTAAGGTCCAATAAATTCGAGACATACAAAATGTTAGTGCAAAACATTTTGTCAACTTATAAACTTTTTAAATTTTCATTTATCCTCCTGAAAAGTTTTTTGCTATCATGTACCCATATCTCCTTTCGATAGAAAAACGCACTTTCTCCGTTCGATAGAAAAACGAACAGCATCCCCACTACAATATTGGCGCGTGCAAAAGCCTTATAGCACTTGGAATCGTTTTGCGCAATCATCGACGATGCCATGTAAGGGATGAATTCTTTCTATCGTTTTCATTTCATTTGCAGCGTGCTGTAATGACGCTATATATAGAGGCCGATGTATATATATATATATAGTCTCTCACTAAATATATTTCACTTGAATTGCGAATTCTTTGAATTTCTCTTTCACTTTTTGAATTAATTTTCCTTAATTTAATTAAAATTTTTAATGTCAAAGAAGATCCTCATTTGTTACAACTTTTCAATTTTCAATATAATCGTGTGACAAAGTTAGAATTAGAATCCTATTAAAATAATATTTATTTAAAATTAATTGAAAAATATATATTAAATATAATTTGCATATAAATATGATTTTATCATTTATTTATAGATTAATTTTTAAAAAGTCATCTGCATTCGATTGTTTATAACAAACTATGGATGCTTTGACTAAAGGAATCTACCAAAGAATTCATGATTCAAAGCAAGTGTATCAGCGAAGGACCCTGCGACAATGCCCTTAACAACGACGGACGTTCTTATGTATCCGTCTAATACCGGTTTAGTCAGTCAAAGTTACGGTTTCTACCTCCATGCAAAGTTGCGAGACGACTAGATTAGCCGCAAAACTTGCTAAGAGAAGATCCATAATAAAAAATAAAAAATAAAATACACTTTTCTACGCGAAAACACTGAAAAATCTGTATACAATAGTTACTCTGCGAGAGCAGAATAAGAAAAGAAAGAGAATGACAGCTCATCAGCTGTTACTTGTCAAATTACATTGCCGATATATCATACTTGTCAAACACGGAAAAAATATTAACTAACACAGCTAAATCTTAGATATTCCAGCTAATATTTTTTATGAAGAGTAAAACAATTCATTAATT